AAGCCAATTCCTATAAAATCAAACATAACAGATGCCAACACATGTGCTTTACACATAGCTGCTGATCATTATTTCTTTAAAACATTTGCCAAAGAATCATTAGAAGATACAGTGGCAGAAATGGTCTTCCACATTGCACATGCTGATAAGATATTTCGTTCGACTGACTTCAGTGGTGATGGTGGTCATGGCGATAACATTGGTTTTACTATTGCTGCCATCACTGTTTATCAGGATGAAATTTCAGAAGGTAGAGCATTGCAAGTGATCCATACTTGATTGATGTATGGCAGAGGCTCAAGTCTTGTAGGAATGTAAAAACAACTCTTTCAAAAATGTGTAATACTGAATTCTGTGATAGTGCATAGCCTAGCTATTTTAAGTTGCTATCAGATCACATTTGMATGGCATTGCAAAATGACAATCTAAACAAAATCTGTTTCCATTGAGGCTGTAGCAAAATCAGTTTCCATTGAGGCTGTACAGCTAAAAATGCAAGCATTGAAATCCAACATCTTCAAGTAATCAACATTTTCTGAAATTCATGTATAATTTTGTAACAGATTTTTTCAAACCTGTATCAACAAGTGATCCAGTCAGCTTCCTCACAGACTGGAGTAAACTGAACCATGAAGCATTTTGTCTGTCTGTACTCTTTACATTCAAAGAATTTGACAAAGGTGTCCTTGGCCTTGCTTGGGTAGGGGACCTTTATTCTGGAGGTATTTGCTCAAAGAGGATTACCAYGGAAAACTCAACAGAGGAAATAAGTTTTAACAGTGCAGTGGTAACCTTGTTAAATAGTGGTGCTAAAGTTCCAAGGAAAGCATCTATTGTGACAGTCACACATGAACTGGGGCACAGCTTTGGAGCAAGAGTATGTAAAATCATTTGAGTTGTAGTCTGTCGTGGTATTGAAGTACCAAGACAGCAATCACATATTGCTTTTTTGCTTGGAAGTGGAATGATTTTGTAGTTACTATTATGATAAAAAGAATCTAACATTATAAAGGATTTCAATCACTAAATTGTATCTTCTAGCATGACCCAAAAGAATGCAGGCCAGGTGGACATGCTGGTAATTACATAATGTATGAGAGAGCAACTGATGGCACTGAACCAAACAACTACTTCTTTTCTAAATGTAGCAAGGTTGAAATGTGGCCAGTTATATACTACAAAGGACCAGTATGTTTTATTGGTAAGATGGCCACCAAAACAGCACTAATTAAGTACTATTATTGGAATGATTATTGGGGTTTCTGATATGAATGATATTGGTATTTTTGCAGGTCATGATAGAGGTATATATTGTGGTAATAAGGTTGTAGAAGAAGGAGAGGACTGTGATTGTGGATATCCAGAGGAATGTGACAGGGTTGACAAGTGTTGTGATCCWGGAAATATGACCTCAGGGATATCGTCTTGTAAGATTAAAGATGGCTACCAGTGTAGGTATGTACATTTAATTACGTTAGGGTTATTTGAATCACTTCACATTAATTTATTACATTTATTGTTTATATTGACAGTCCAAAGAAAGGACCTTGCTGYAGTGATAACTGCCAGTTAATTACCTCTGAAAACACAACATGTCAAGAAGAAACTGATTGTACTTATAGGTCCATTTGCAAATATCCTTTCAGATATTCTCTGCTTTCTAAATAAGCTTATTTTAAGTGATGAGGATATTTTGTATGATGAGGAAACATTTTTGTGGCAGATATAACTCAATTCCTTTACTAATTCCTTGACATACATCACTACTATCAATGTTACATGTCCAATACCAGTCTCTAAACCATCCAACACGACCTGTAACTATGGCAGCAATACATGTTTAGATGGTGTGTGTACTGGATCTATATGTACAAAATACAACTTGGACCAGTGCTCATGCAAAAGCTTTGATAGCATGTGTCACGTTTGCTGCAGTCATAAAAAGGTACCATAGCAATAAAGATGACTATATTTTACAATGTTTATGTATGAATTCATATATTCATATATTTTACATTTTTCTGAAGAATGGATGTGTTTCATCCAGTACATTAACTGGACAAGTCATCTACCAAGCTTCTGGAAGTCTATGTGGCAATATATCTGGTTACTGCAATGAGTATGGTCAATGCATCATAGTTGATACAGACCATCAATATACTATGCTGGTTGAAGCACTGAGGAGGCTTACATCGAAAGCAATGTTGAGGAGGTTTACAGCATGGGCCAATGAAAACTGGTAGGTGTTAAATACACAGCCACAAAGATACCTGTAGACAGAAATAATCATTAATATTAGGTTTAAAAGATCTTTCTTTCATTGTTTCCATAGGTTCGTGATGTTAATAGTTTGGTTTGGTATATTAGCAGTGTTTCTAATACTTAAATGCAAACTGTTCACCATCATATGTACAGTTAAAAGGAAATACTCTGCAGTAGAACCAGAACCATGCACAACATTCAACAATGTCAGTCCAATTGAAGCAACAGATGTGGATGCAACATTCAGAAGCACAGATTTGGGTGGATTTTGGRAAACAGAAGCTGATGTAACATTACAAAATAGTGTGATGACAAATGATAGCAGTTTATTGAATGCACCAGAACCYAAAGCAGCATTTRAAAGTTTGAAACAAACAGACAGTCAGTTCATYGGATCCGAACCAGAATCTGCATTCAACAACATAACAGATGCTATGAATAGCCAGARGGCAAACAMCAGCCATTTGGAGCTWACAAARCTTTCYATAACAACCAATGACAGTGTACAACACTTCGTACAGCAAGATAATGAACTTRATACTGTAGACMTACACCAAAGGGATGGATCAYGYASCTATCCAGAATCACAGTYGTCTAAAATGACACAAACTAACAACAGTSAACAACAACAACCTGAAAGTCATTTTGTTCAAGTAGAAAGAGATTCAATAAAWGTTTGAAAGACTRTCTACAATGAAGACTGTGCAAAGGGGTAGATAATACAGACATTGAAAGCAAATAGATAGTACCTTTAATTTTCATCTCCATTTGATGTACTTGTCGAGTTGCTCTTTAGCAAGTGATGGTTTAACATTCAGCAAAGCATTTTGGAAGTGTTCACTGTTGATTTTGCTYGCAGTGAGGTCTTCTTCTAATGCAAAAATAGCTGCCTGGGCAAAAGATAATTAAAAGATAATTGAGCTAATAATACATAAAACTAAAACAGATGTGTTGAGCTGATTCTGCACTTACCTCTCTGCAGAGATTTTCCAAGTCAGCTCCAGAAAACATGTCTGTTTTGTCAGCAATCAAATTSAGATCAACATCCTTTGATATTGGACTAGAATGTGTATGTACCTTCAGAATCTCCAGTCTTGTGTCCCTATCAGGTGGAGGGACATAAATCAYGCGGTCAATACGACCTGGTCTTAAAAGTGCCTCATCAATAGCATTGGGTCTGTTAGTTGCAGCTACTAGAATGAGATCTTTAACATTTTGTAGCTTTGAAAGCCGTTTTTCTTTGGAAGTGTCTACTGTGTCTTGACTAGAAGAATTGGTCTTTAAGCTTAATATACTGTCTTSATTTGATTCAGATGCATTCTGGTGTCTTCCAGTGTTGCTCTCAGTATTAGAGTCATAGATGTTGGCTGATACTCCTACTCCATCAATTTCATTCAAAAGGCTTGCCAGAAGACGAGACGTGACGTCATTTCCACTACTTTCAGATCTTCTTTTCCCAGCTATTGAATCAAGCTCATCAAGAAATAAAATTGATGGTGCTGTTGCTCTTGCCTTTAGAAAAACCTAAATACATATAAAATGATAATTTAAGTGTTTTTCTTATAAAAGTGAGAAAGTGTTAGTTAAGAGCTTCCAGTATAGTAATTTATATGCTATATTGTAAGTGGATCTTATTCATCATCATAAAAGGATTTCGATAAACAAAAATTCACAAAAACGTCTCACCTCTCTAATCATTCTTTCTGCATCTCCAACATAAGGTGAAAATAGCTGTGCACAACTTAGTGACAGAAATGTGCAGTTACAGGAGGAAGCAAGTGCATGAACTAATGTTGTCTTACAACAGCCTGGTGGTCCATACAGCAACACTGCTCGTGGACGCTGAAGACCAAGCCGTGAGAATGCTTCTGGGTGCTTTAATGGCCATTCTATTGACTGCATAATATAGTAYGATTAGTATATATAGTAAAAACATTATTCAGTCACTCACAGTATCTCAGACTCCAGTTTGACAGCCTCCAGAATTTATACAAAAGTACACAGTCACTCATATTGATTTTTTTATGAATCGTGGGATTACCTGTTTTAAAGCTTGTTTTACTTCACAAAGCCCTCCAATGTCACTCCAACTTATTGAACGAACATCAGTAATCCCCTCCATCCCCCTGYGAGTAGATGGAGTGATGTGGCACATGGCTAGCTGGAAGTCACTCATCTTCACACTTCCCCTGTCTTTGAAATAATAATAAGTTCTGATGAGTCCTTGGCCATGTCTAAACAAGGCTTTCCACAAAACATTTCATTGAATGTGATGAATGGCATGAGGAAGCACAAAACTTAGCAGGGAAACAGCCTTACCACTTCCTCTTTGTTGCTTACACGATGTATTGTCAGCAAGTAAACTTCTTTTCATTGCTGTAAATGCAGCTTCTCTGCACAATGCTGCTAAATCTGCACCTACATATCCAATAGTGGWTTCAGCAATTTGTGGCAGGTCAACATCACACTCAAGCTGTACATTAGCAGTGTGTACTTTAAGGATTTCAAGCCTTTTTACTGGACCTGGGACTCCTATGACAACCTGTATTTTCAGAAAACTAATCTTTATTAATATGTTGCCCATGTATAAAGTAAAAAAAAAAATATTCTTACCTCTCTGTCAAATCTACCAGGCCTTCTAAGAGCAGAGTCCAAAGCATTTGGTCTGTTTGTAGCACCAATAACAACTAATTTACCCCTGCTTTTCATGCCATCCATAAGAGTCAAGAGTTGAGCTACTATTCTGTTTTCTTCTTCATTACCACTGGTCCCTCTTTTAGGACAGAGAGCATCTATCTCATCAATAAAAAGAACGCAAGGTCCTGTCTTGGACGCCAACCTAAATGAACAATAAATGTTGATTTACTTGTCACACTCGGCATAAGGCTCCAGTTCATTAGATTAAGACGAAGTGTACTTGTAGGTGGCATACACCTAGTTGTATACCCATTAAAAACAGAACAAATGTGACTTGTAACCCTAACCCTAACCTAACCCTAACCATCATGTAAATCATCCTTAGCAATTCTAAAACTTATTTTTACTTCGTATCTTGAAGTATATGACTTGTTTTTTACCATGCTTTTTCAAAAGTCTTTCGTAGGTTTTCCTCGCTTTCGCCAGAATGAGGTCCAAAGACATCAGTCCCATTAAGAGTAATTAACTGTGCATTGCACTCAGCAGTGATATTTTTGACCATCAATGTTTTACCAACGCCTGGTGCACCCTGTAATAATATCCCCTTAGGGCATTCTAAACCTATGTGGGCAAAGGACTCTGGGTAATCAAAGGGGTAACTCAACATTTCTTTCAGTACTTGTGATGCTTCATGCAATCCAGCCATGGCAGATTTTGAGCTCTCTTTTGAAAAATGATCCATTTTAATTGACTTGAAATATATTTTTGTATTTTCTGAGAAATAGAAATTWGTGCAATCACCATGTGGCTGAATATCTTCAATAACAACACCCCAGATTGTCTTCATTAAAGCACTGCTTTGATTCTTGAAGTTCCTTGGTTTCACAAGACACCCTTTAGTTAATGTCAYCCCTTTCAGAAGTAATGCTAGTCTTCTTCCCAGCTGTTTTTCGAACAGTTTTTTTGAAGRAGTATTTCTACTGCTTCCAATGTCCTTTAAAAACACAGAGACTGTAACACAGGTAGACTCTTGTGGTCGTAGCTTCATGATCCCTTCTGCTATGTCCAGACACTGTGTCAATGAACTGCTACTGWTACTTGTCAAAGGTGATGTGATCAAATCATCAAACTGGACAAAACGAAMATCACAGCTGTTTTCAATATGAGGCCAARCATTGCAATATAYATATTTACTACTTGTTTTCATTCGTATCGGTGAACCAATTATAAGACCAAGACTTTCCATAGTTTCGGTGTCCAATCTACAYCGTCCTTTGTTGTAATCTTTCGGATTACAAGGTAAAATTTGTAAATGTCTAAAAACTTCATCTTCGTCCGCCATTTTAAATTCAAATGAACTCCTCTGGGGGGGAGGGTTAGAGTGTGAGATTGAGTAAACTTTTTTTAATCATTTACATATCAAATTAAAAGATTTTTTATCGACAAAATGGAAAGAAAAAGGCATATCATTTTGGTATCCTCATTATGATATGTGTTTTCAAGAATGTTTTATTTTATTAGATGTGATTTGTCCTCCCTCTCCCTTCTTATTTTAATTTTGTACGTTTGAGTCGCGGGCTCAAACAATTTCCAATATGGCGGCCGGTATGCATGTGTGCAGAACAACTCTTAGAAACTCGTTACTTTCACCTTTATGGGGTAGATGTATTTTATCGTTGAGAATACAGCGGTGTTCTACAAAACCAGGTCAGTGTCCTGAAAGTTTATTTATGTTTCTGCTTTTGTCAGCTCAACTGGATTTGCGCCTTGGCGAAATGTAAGCTGTATGAAGCTGTATATTAAAATATGCTTGCAAGTGATACAAATGCTTTATCAGTCCGAATAAAACGTAGATTAATGACATTTCTGTGCTTATCATTTCTATCAGGAGCATCTGATGTTTGCACCTGAGTAATCGTTTGTTTTCTTTTTAATATAAACTTATTTGGAGTCTATTGGTCACTATTGTTATTCTCTATAATTGATTATTTCAGAGAACCATAGTGAAAAATCGTTGAATACTTGTTTTGGCGTCAATCATCTTAAAGAAGGAGCAGATCCACCCTTATTACCAGATCACGAGTATCCTGATTGGCTATGGAAGCTACTGGAACCAAAGCAAACAACAACAGATGAGCACCAAAAACCCTGGAGAAAACTAAATAAAAAACAGAGAAGACAAGAAAATGAAATAAGAAAGCAAAAGAAAGTTTGAATAATTGTAAATAAAAATAAGCAACCAATCAATGGATGAGTTATACCTTTTCGTTCAGTGATGGGATCCCTGTAGTATGCGTTCCACCACAGGAATCCCGAAATATTAACGAGCATAAACAAGCAGCAAAAAAAAAATGATGTAGGATTCGGCTCTGGAATCTATTAATTATATTGCTTTCTCTTGCGGAGTACATGTAGTAGCGGAATTATCTGTATGTAATTTGCTTTCATGACCAGGCTGTTCATGACTTTCCGTCTCTACTCACTCTGGCGCGCTTTTTAATACTCTCTGTGCCCGCGCATTCATTTACATTCTTCGCGCGCATGTAGCTTGCAAATTTGATTCAGTTCAGTCATGCATTCAAGGTTGACAATGTTTCCAAGGTAAGAAAGACGGAGACGGAGAATTATGTCAGTCCGTAATAGTATGTAATAGTATACATTACAGACACAAGAAGTGTWATGTATTTTTAGCAGTAACTTGAGAATCATTTTAAATTTCGATTCAGAATAACTAGTCGAACACCATCAATCAACGGCTTCTCAAAGCTGTACCAACCAAGAGCCTATCGTTTATCTTAAGCTTGAAAACTCTAGACAAAAAGAAAATATTTTCAGTGCTTGATAAACATTTTTTAACCTACTTGAACTATCAAGTCCTTTCAAACTCAATTGATAGCACTTCAGGCCTTCTCAAGCACGACAGGCGTCGTCTCGTCTCTGCAGTGTGTACGTTTTGGCAGAAGTTTATCGTTCATGCAAAAAAGTTTTCATACTTCACATTGCCACTCTGTAATTTGATAGCATTCTCGAATGGTCTTTTTGTACTACAGATTTTTCCTACATTMTTATCACACATGATTCATCACGCATAAGTAGAGAAAAACAGGGGGAGGGCCATGCACGTAAAGGTCACTAAATGAATTATAGGTSAGTWTTAACTCCAAAAACCGTGAAATACGTCTTTGATCACTGAATTACAAAAGTTACCAACTGTCCAATGATAAATAAATACACAATAAATAAATATACACAAATGTTGTATAAACACACTATAACTTTTTATTTACCAAAAATTACAAGTTTTTTAGTGGCAACTATTATTACTGTACAGTTATTATCCAAAGAAGGCTATTTACAAAAGCCTGTGAAAACTTCATATACAGTCAAAACGACCAATATTAATGCTTGATGAAATGGTCATGAAATTAAAACTTTGATGCAGCCAATTAGATATGAGAATGTCAATAGAATTATATGTATAATTCAGGATTTCTTACTTTTACTTGATTTATTCTTTTGACTTATTTTCTCATTCAAATATCTAATTGGTGAAATGTGAGAATGTTTAAGCATTGCATGCTTATGGTTTTCATTAACACAACTTTTAACAAAATTGTCCTCATATTTCTTTTGTAATGGACAGCAGATCTCCCTTCCAAGTGAACAGGAAGGGATATTGTACAGAGTAAAAACCATCCTTCCCCATGTTTACAAACAGAGCATCAGAATATTCCTGATACTTTGCTATTTATTCCTTATCTATTTCAAATGGCTTGTTTTAGATATTCTAGTATGTCATAGGATTTTCATCAGAAAATCACTTCGTATAGTGTAGCCTTCTTGTCTCCAGAACCAGTAACAATGTACTTGTCATCTGCCGATATATCACAACTTAGAACTGACGAAGACTCTTTTGACTAGAAGGGACAAAGTATCATGCTTTAGAACTAATGAAAYAATTATTTACTAAGTACCAGGCAATGMACTATTTCATGTATATTCCATAAACACTGCTCTAACTCTGRTTCACTCAAATTCGTCTTTCATTGCCTTTAAACATATTTCTGTATGTGTATAATGATGTGCAGTTTCACTTACCTGGAAAATACTTGCTCCATATGGTGTTCTCCATGCATTTAGTAGGTTATCTTTACCAGTTGTAACAAACCATTTTCCAGAGTATGCAAACTTGAGAGATAATACGCAACTTTCATGCAAATGAAGTTGATATTTGTCAGGTTTGGATTGATGAAGTACTTCAACATTACTATTTTCCATCCTAAACAACAACAACAAACCAGTTTTGTTAATTATCTAGTGACATCAGAATTTGATGTTTACATGTAAGTTGGTTTCCTCGGCAGACCACWCTATTAGATGCAGATAGAAATATCTTACCCTACAGCTAACCAGTCACCAGARGGACAGTATCCTAATGAGAATATTTGAGAAGTAAAATCATGTTGTTGAAGTTGTCTTCCTTCCCGTAGGTCCCAAGATCGAACAGTATTATCCAAACCACCTAAGATTGGTAAAAATTGACATTTGATATTTTTTATCAATTCACAAATCATAGACTTCATAAATTCCCAATTGTTCCCATAACAAACAACCTGTATTTCACCAAGTATTTCACCAAAATTATTACTGCCAATGATGTATTGCTAGTTATATTTTCATAAACAATCAAACTCCACATACACTGTGTTTCAATAGGCTATAAGACTTACCTGTCCATAATTTAGTTCCATCTGGTGATATATCAATACAACTAGCACCATCTGTATGTCCTTGAAATTGTCTAACTAATGTTTGGTTATGAAGGTCCCACACTGCTATATTACCATCACTACAACAACTAAAACAAACTTTTGAATCTGGGCTTAATGCCAAAGCATAACATGCAGGAGCATTTGACGTCAACTCTGCTTTAATTCTTGGCTGTGAGGTTAGGTCCCATATTGTAAGAGTACTAGCTTCACCTCCAACAATAAGAGTTCGGCCATCRGGTAAAAGGCGACAAGAACGAATATAATTATCACGCTAGAAGAAAAAATTATATATATTAGAAATGATATCTCCAATTGACAGTGATAATGATAAGAAGTGAAAATGATAAGAGCATTGTGTGTTACTAAAATACATAAAAATTAATTTGAAATAAGTTTATGAAATGATTGGTATAAATCAATACAATGAGAACTTACTAAGCAATCTAATGTTGAAACAAGGTTTTTACCACTAGCTTGGCTAATATCCCAAACTTTGACACAGCCCTGCAAAGAA